GGGACGGGGGAAAGGTCGAAACTGCAGGTACGCGGCAAACCCCTGGGTGCATTATTGGAGGATGCGGATCGATGACAGAGGCGGCGATGTGTTAACCGGTCGTTTCGGGTGACAATCCTCGACGTGGTCATTTATCTGCGACCCCGGGCGAGGACAGCTCGCCCTGGGAAGTCCGTGGCCAGAAATATATACGACTTTTTTTCCAATCCACTCTCGACTGTATACCTTCCTATAGGTATATATAACGATGATCCTCGTATTATTACAAGAGAGCGAGATAAGATCGTATTTTTATTCGAACAAATGTCATCGCGAAGCGACAATAGATTCGCAAACCAAGGAACGGGAGTCAATGGTAGTTAAAAGATTCGAGAGTGATTTTTTTCGAAATTTCATCTGCTAGAATTTTTCATCGAGTTAAGGAGCGTAAGTAAGGTATAAAGTGACGTTTGCTCGACTTTTCTCTCGTGATTGAATCGCATCCAAAAAGAGAAAGAGAAACAAAGAGAGAGAGAAAGAAAGGATCGTAATTGGAGGTTGAGATCGAGACCGAGGGATGAATCGAAGGCGATAACGGACGAAAAAATGAAAGAAAAGAAAAAAGAAAGAAAGAAAAAAGGGAAAAGTTGGTGGGAACGTATCGGTTATTCGTCGATCCCTCCTCCCTCTTTCCGTGGATCAGAGAAGCAAGGAAAAATTCCTAACGGGCGAGCGTAGAGAGAGGAAAGGCGAGGTGGAAGGCACGCTACCGGCGGCGCCTATCTTAATTCTCGATTGACGTTTATTTATCTGGCGACGTTTAATTTTTATGGGCGCGATCTGGCCGATAGGTTAGACTCGCAGGTAGCTCCCGCTGTGTGGTCCAAGTTGAGAAAAGATCCGAGGTTAGACTGGTAGAACATTGGTGGACGAGCAGCACCTCTTAATTGAGGGGTGCCGCGTGTCGCGATAAGAAGAACACGGGCGTCAAAAACCCGTGGAAAGAGCTACCAGGGGAAAGGAAAGGAGGAAGGAATTTATTGCGCAGCCACGATGCATTCGTTCGTTTCGGTATCCGCGGCCCTACGATTCCTCCGTCTCGATACCATGCGCCCCTTGGTCCGTCCCGAGACCAAATTAAGAGAGTGGTTTTCTTCGTTCACCAGGATTCCGTTCACCAGATATTACCCAGCCTACGAGGGAAACCTGCCTCCTCGGATCAACAAATTGCTCTTTCTTTCTCCCCGAAGGGGAATCGGGGAGGCGGAGTCGGTTACGGGACGATTTTATTCCATCCTCGTCGGAGATCTCGTCGAAGAGTTGGTTCGAAACGGGTAAACGACCGATTTCTCGAGAAATTCTCTTATCAATTAGGATTAATACCCGTTTGAATTAATAGCATATAGGTTATAACGGAAAATTTTCACAGAAATCGCCAATCTTTTCTTCTCTTTTCGTGCTCCCGCGACTCCGATACACGTACGGTACACGCACAGGAATGTTTGTATATTCCGATTGCCTCGGAAACATTCTTTTCGTCGATGTTTCTCGGCTCTAACGAGGAAGCTCACCTTGGCGCGTTAATAAACTCGAGCCACGTTTCGCGATTATTCCTCTCGATCCTCGTTTTCGCAATGTTTCGTCCACGATAATTACCGTGTTCTATTTCGATTCGTCCGAATAACACGGAGAGATTCTTGTCGGAATCGTTTGCGAAGGTGAACTCAAACTCGTCGATTCATCGATGCGATAAGTAAACGATTATCCGAATAACCTGTTCGCGAATAAGCCATCGCGAGTACTTCTCCCTCCCCTCCCTTGATCGAACCAACGAGGAGGAGGAGGACATTCAAAGTATCAACCTTCTCCCGATGGAAATAAAGAAAATGGTTCCCGTTTAATAAGACGGCCGGTCGACCAAGACGGGTGGTCCCCAGGTGTGTTAGTCTCGTCGTATCTACCTTTCTCGCGTCATTCGTCTCCCTTCTAGCCTAGCCTAGCTGTAACCAAGTCAAATCGTTTCGCGAACAACACGCTCTCTTCGGCCTCTACCTCCTTTCTCTAGCCCGAGGAAAGGTTTGTGACACGACACGGAGACAAGATGAAACGAAACGAAACGAAACGAAACGAAACGAAACGGGACGATAATGAGCGAGCTAAAAGCGATTTAGCGCCATGGCGCTAAGTGTTTTGTCGCCTCGCGAACTCGGTGCTAACTAATGCGGTTCGCAGAGGACGCACACCGCATCGCGCCTCTCACCTTTACCATTTTCGATATTCGTCAATTTACCATCGTCTCTACACACACTGCCACACACGTCGTTGCTTACCGTTCGAGTTGCTCGTTTATTAACATCGGTTTTCCTCCATTCCTCCGCCTCGCTCGTTTAGAAACGCTTCGCGCAGTTTGAGAAAGTTGACATTTTTATTTCGCGAGAGCTACTATACGGAGAAACAAAATTTTCTCTCCGATCGTTGAATCTAGACATTCGTTGTTCGGATTGTATCCGGAACGTATCATTTCCCACCATTCATTTTTTTTTATCTTTTTAGTAGGTAAGCTAGTTTATTACTACGTGGAAGAATAATTTTCAATTTTTTTTTTATTTTTTTTTTTTTTTTTGTTGGTAAACTAGTTTTTTTCTTCCTTGAAAAAAAAATTTTAATTTTTTTTTTTTTTTTTTTTTTTTTTTTGCATAAAATCTTTAACGATCCTCGCAATCCTCGCGCCAGACAACTATTTCCTGTCAGACTTTGTAGGTTACATTCACTTTTCAAACCTATGCAATACTTTGTTACCACAGAACCGATTAGCGAAATTTACTACCAATATATCTGTAATATATCCTTGCTCGCTCTCGTCTTTGTGTGAATTTAAGATGAAAGCAAACATTGCAAAGATTAAGAAGAAATAATTGTACGTTGCATCGTATATTCCTCGATCCTCGCTCGAATAAATTCACTTTTCCCGTTGACCTGGATAGACGACATTTCTCCTCGAATTTAGTCGTTACTTCTTTCATTGTTCGACCAATTGCACGGGATCCGGGATCGACACGGTGCGGAGAGGGAAACGAGGTGGGTCTGCGGTGGGTCCGAGGAAGAACATTTTTACGATTTATCCATGACTCTCCAACAGAGAGGTGGTGGCCGCATACCCGGCACCCTCGCCATAGGAAACGACAATACACGAGCCATGAGCGTCGATTACGAGAGAAGCGTGTCTTCGAGTTGAATAGGGAAAACCCTAATTTTTCTCGCTTCCAAGCGCGGCCAAGTACCCGTTCCTACGAACCAAATTGCCCGTAACTAAAGTAACGCCTCTGGGTGTCTACTGACAGCCGGAACAGCACTCTTTCTCCCCGTCATCGTCCACTCTTTTCTCATTCTTGACGCTTCCCCATTGTCCGCGTTCACCAGTTTTACCAGCGGCACATACCGATCCGCCTTCTTCGCCACTCGAGATAATGAAAAAGATTCACAGATTATTCCATCACCTATTTTTCTCGATTACTCGCTTTCGTTCCATTATCTTATATCTCTTCGTTGCTCTTGTCCAATTGCCCAACGAATCAAATTCTCTTCCCTTTTCCAAGAGAATGTACACGCGACACGATCGATTCGCGAGACCAATAACGGATCGATCCAACTTTCCCAGGGGACTGTACTCCTCTCGAAGGAGAAGAGGAGAAGACGCGAGGCCGGTATTTCCCACAAAGGGTTGACAATAGCAAACAGTTTAATGTCCCGTACGTTTATTGTATCTCGGCTACCGTGGGCTTTAACTTGGATCGGTAGCCGGAGAAAGGGTGAAAGGAGGCGAGGAAGAGAGAGAGAAGGCGAAGGGAAGGAAAAGGAGATCGGAACACCGGGACAGATCTGTTATTCTGTTAGACTCTGCCCGTTCGCCGGTGACATTTGAATGCTCGGTCGATTTTACGTTGGCGAAGGGAGAACACCGAAGGAAGAAGAAGAAAACGAGAACTTCCATACCCTCTTGGCTTCCTTCTCTCTTCGTTCTTCCACCTTCCTCGTCCCCCTCCCCCTCCCATTTCTCCATTTCTTCCCTCGAAACGTCCATCTTTTCGCTTTTCCTCCGCCAATTTTCCTTCGATCCTCGACGATCCAAGAAACGCCGCTACGATCTATATCCTCGGTCGCGATCGAGAAAGAGACGGAGAAGGAGGAGGGAGAGGAGGAGAGAGGGAAAAAGAGAGAGAGAGAGAGACGGATAGATAGAGATTCGCCGTAATTACCGCGGTATCTCGGAGGGAAGAGGCTGCTTGGACCGCGCGCGGGGCGACGACTGGTGTCGAGCGAGGAAAGGAGCGAGACAGGAGAGGAGAGAAATTCCTGCGAGAGAAGAGAATCCAGCGGTGATACGATGCGCGGCTCAAAAATTCCACGGAATCTCGGGAAAAGGCGAGTGGTCGTTGCCGCAATTGGTCATTGGGCGATTTTTGCCGGCATTCATGCGTCCGTTCCCCGTGTATTTATTGGAAAGGTTTCTCTGGTACGATCTGGTATACACGGGGGTTAACTAAACGCCGTGCCTCTTTTCTCATTCGATATTCCTCTCTTTATTTACGGGACGCATCCCGGTGATTTATCTTCTCCCTTGTCTCTCCTCGTCTTCCTTTTCTCTCCCTCCCCACAGTTTCTCCATCTCGTCGCGCACGCTCCCCCCCCCCCC